GGCTTTCTTACAAGGAATAAATAAAGAAATAAATCACTATTAATTTCCTTCAAACCTCTCTCCTATTTCAAGCTTTCCTCCAACTTCTCCCCTCTTAGTCAGATAAGGCAGCTGACCTCTAACTATGATTAACTCTGCAATGAGCCCTCTGCATAAGGCTTTTCAGCATGTGGTGTTTACATTTAGAAATGGAATCTTCATACACTGTAAGTCAACAATAACTATCTAAGTCCCCAGGGCACAGATATCAAAAGAAAAGCAAAAGTTCACAGTATGTTATATTCTCTCTGCCACAGGCAGCATTTACCAGCAGCACAAATCAGAGTCTTAATTCTTCTCCAGGAGGTACCAAGTCTTTAAGCCATGGAAGCCCAAGATGCCCTCAGAGCTGGTCACGCCAAGCCACAGAGCTGAACCACTGTCCCCTTATGCAACATGGGAACATGCAGGTGCTGCCAGCAACCAGCTGGGACTCAGTGTCTGATGAGCAAATAAGGAAAGAAAGCAATGAAGAGTCCCTTTGAAAACTGGGGAACAAGAAAGGAGGGAAAATTGCCTCATTCCCTTTCTCCCAGAAGTGTAACCACTCGCTGGGAGAAGCACTGGGTGTACAGGCTCCATTAAGCCCTGCAGAAAGTTACCTTCATTACAGGCACCACTGGCTTTCCTGCAAAATTATGGCAGGGAAGAACTTGCCCGTTTTAGCTCACTGATGTTCTTACATTATGTCCTGCTCCAATAACCGTGCTGCCTGCCACCAGTCATTGCATTTGGTAAATCTAAGAGGATGTAAGCCCTGAAAAACATGAAACATCAAACAGCCTGTGGGCAGGATCCATGCAAAATTCTTCCCCAGTCCCCCAGGGCAGGAAGGGGTGATGCCCTGCCCCCACTGAAACCTGGCTGCAGATGACAAAGTAAGCTGGTGACACACTACCTTGTACCAGGTACCTTATGCCAGTGAAAGGTCTGACTTCTCAAAGTGGACACCCATGAAAGAAAAGCAATTAAATGGGAAGTTGTTTGTCATATTAATGGTCTTACTAAATGACACCATTAAACCACTGTAAGCAAGAGATTGGTAATGAGCAAGTCAGTGTTATCATTTGCTCTCATTTTTCAGGCTGGCTCAGGACAAATATTTCTCCTTTTGTTTGTAAGGGAGAACAGATTAAAGAGATGTATAAGGAAATCAAAGTAATTAGGCACATAAACAAGCTGGCAGGTAAACAATTGTGATTCAGTGAGGCAACTGTCAACCTCCAAAGGAAGGATGGTACATATTTGTAATATTATTTTGGTTTTAGTCCCATTTTATCTGGTTTTGGATTACTCCTAATCTAACCAAAAGCATCCTTACAAAGCACAAGAATGAGCCAGGTCTGTGTTCACCTCTTTCAAGGCTTGCTTTAGCCTGCCCTGGGGATGTGCACTGGGAGAGGCTCCTGCAGAACATGGACACCTGTACAGTGGCCAGCTGCCCCCACAGGTAAGAGTGAGTACATCCACTGCAGAAACACAACCAGACAGAGTTTAGGCTCAACTCTGGGATGTCACACTCCTGGGAAGACATCTGTCTGTTGCTCTATTTGGAACAGCGAGAAGAACGACACAGACTCTCTTGAGAGTCGAACAGGAGAATTTCTCCCTCTGGTTTATTACTTCAGATCTTCTTTTATAGACCAATACGTGAAAGTACAGAAAAGTAAAACTCTTACTGGTTAGTGAACTAACACATCACCATCATTGGTCAGTGGTGTACATCACCCCTCGACCTTCTCTTGCAAGAAAACAGAAACTGACAAACAACACCTGCAAGGCTGTCTTCTATCTCTGAGGATTGCTTTAATTACTCTTTATGATTTCCCAGGCCACTTTCTCAGGTGAGACTGAGAAAGTTATGCAGCCTGCTTTTCTACAGGCACTGTGCTCCCTGCTTCACAGTTAGCATCCATATCTGTCCCAGCACCGATCTTGACACATAACCTGGGTAAACACAGTCTGGCTGTAGGATCTGATTCGGCCCATTTAACCCTTGGCATTTAACAAAGCACTCGGTTTAGTTTTCACTCACCCCATGCAGTCAGAACAGAGATCAGTGCTTGTGGCTGGTCCTGGCCATTGGAGTTTCTCTCGTGAAGAAGAGGGACAGTACAGTAATTCCCATTGCTAGCTCATAACTCTGTGTTCATTTGAAGTGACCCAGTCATCTGAAAGTCAGCACTACCTAAAAATTCTTTCCAACTCCCCAAAACATAGGCCACTACCATTTTTTTGAACTAATTCAGCTTAATGCACCACTCAAAACCCCACACCATTACTTTGTGCCAAGACTAGTTATGTTCCCAAATGTAACAGTACCCTGACTCCACGTCTGCTGAAGATATGATGCAGTCTCACATCTTCTGCTGTAGTCTACCATGATTAATTTTAGTTTATGGAAGTGGGAGGTAGAACGAAGGGAGAAGCAGCCATGGAAGCCAGAATCTATTCAACTATGGGAGGATCAGCAGTACTCAAATGTAATAATGTCTCAGTGGCTATATAGGAGAAAACTAAACATTAGAAACAGCACGTGCCAAGTGGTGCTCACAGCACATTCCAAGCTGCAGAGGAGCAGATAGGGTTTGCTGCCCTGTGAATGTGGCAGAGGGAGCCTCTGTTTCACCCTGGTTTTGGTTTATCTTTTTACGAGTGTATGAGCAGTTCTGGGCATACAAATGAACCCCTTAAAACTGCCATCCATCTGCATAAGCACATGGGCAACTTTAATACATGGATGCATAGATATAATAAATACATTTTTTCCTAATGATTTTTCCATATGAAAAAAGCAGACCCTAATGCAGCATGCAGGCAGTGGCAGTGCCTGAAAAGATATATGGATATGTGTGCTTGTGTGAATTCCTATTTACATTAATCCATGCCCAAAAAAGCTTAAGGGCTATAGAAGCCTGGAAGAGCAAATATGAAAAAACATTTTATACCTTATATCCATTATGTACTTTTGCTGTCAGTTTGCATGCTGAGATCACTGCAGTAACAGGAAAACTTATGATGATATAAAAAGCTTCATTCTAATCCATTATCAATGCATAGCTAATATTAAGGAAAAATACCTCTGCAAATGAATTTCATAATTAAAAAAAATGAAAAATTAGTATTTTTGGAATTTGTTTCATAGAACCAGAGGGTTAAAAAACAAAAAAAAGCTGAAATTTCCTTTAATCAAAATTTCAGTTTTTGACAAGCTCAGCTGTAAAGAATGGGACAACTGGCAATCTTTGAAACTCCTAACACTTTATGTATGAGACAAAAAGGGTTGCTGAAGACTGAAAGTTTACCAGAATATTCTTTTTTGTCCAGAGAAGGAAGTTTTGTATCTGTGACCCAATTCATGTCTTTGAATGTGACAACTACAAACTCTAAATACAAGCTCTTCACCATGGACTGAATTTTAAACCTGTAAAGCATCAAAAGCACACTTTTAGTGCTAAGGAAATGAATTTAAAAATACCACCAAAAAAGGCAAAATGGAAATTATTGCTGGCTGTATATGCATAAGCTTCTCAGAAATTTAATATGTTTTTCAAGTGCTCGAAAATACTTTCTTAAAAATACCTGTTGTTCATTGCTAGGTGTAGCTAACATAATTTAAGGCAGTTTCTTGTATTTTAGCCTATGAGCAAATAAATTCTTATCCTGAGACTTGTGTTTCAACAAGGCACCTCCCTGAAGCAAACTCAAAATCCTGCAAAAACCTCACTCCCTTTGATGGGAAGAGACAGATGGGGAAAAAGAAACAACCCAAATTTAAGGGCTTTTGAAAGAAAGGCAGACTCATCATAGACATGAAACCAATCACTAAACCCAGGCCATAGTCAAAGAATCCTAATTTGGAGGTCTAAAAGAGCTGGGCACATCTGAGCAGCCAAAGAGCTCTGTACTCTTCAGACTTTCATGAATTTGGGACTGGTGAATCTTGGCCAGATCTCCTCATGAAGTTGCCTGCTGTGGCACAACTACAGCTGAAAATGCTCAGATGAAGAAAGCAGAATTAAGTCCTCAGTACTTCTAATTATAGCTAAGAATTTGAAATATGTCTTGATTATTGAGGAGTTTTGCATTTGTCAGCTTAATAGAAAAGAAATAGCAAAATAAAAATATCTGAACTCTTACAGTACAAGTACACTTTTAGTAAGACATATTTGTGTATAGGAGGTTGTCAGGAGACAATCTCTCTCCAAAGAGCTGCTGTCCATCACCAGTGAACACTGCAGTGAAACCTGGATGGCAGCAAGTGATGCAAACTTTGACTCACTGTGTTTCCAAAAGGAAAATAGGGCTGTGGTGTGTGCTTTTGCAGGAAAGGAAAAAAAAAAAAAGACACCACACAAAGGACTGCTCTGTTCCCAGCCCAGGAGCTGCAGAGGGGTCACAAGCATGTAACTGAGGGCAGTGTTTCATCCAGATACCACAAACCTGAAACTGGTTTCCACTGAGAAACCAGGACTTTGTTTTGGGCCCAGTTCAAGGTAATGCAATGACAAATTCACAGAACAGCAATCTTCACCACAAACTTCTTCTACAGTCAATATAGTATTCAATAACCAAGCTGCCACACACTCCTCTTTTGGAAAGAGCCAACGGCTGAAGCTGGCCCAGCACACTGGAAATGCCACCTCAGAGTCCTGTCCTGTAAGGTTTTGCTTATTTTACTCTAGCTTCTGTTTACTTCAAGTTTATTCTTTATGTAAAACAGCACATATACAGATCCACATAAATCAGTGGGGCTACCTGCCTGCTGAGGCATTCCCAAATAACTATTGATTTCCTATGGTGAGTTAAGGCACCATGAAAAATGAGCAGAAAGGGAAATAAAATCTGAACATGTGCAATTCATGCCACAACAAACGCTGATCTAAAGGCTAAGGTTTTTTATTATAATGTGTTTTATAATGGCATAATATCCAATATCACTGCACTAGGTGATTGGTAACAAGCATTTTAAAATGTCAGAGATTAACAGAGATTAATTTACCTCCATCTTGTGAGTTCATGATGTTCAGAGCAAACAGCATGGCATTGGAGAACGTGGTAGCCTCTTCTTTGCTTGCAAAATTCAAGCCGTAGACCTGCCGTGCGTCGCGCCATTGATGAAAGGTAGGTGTTGCTTGATTGTACTTCAGTCCTTTCACAATTGAGTAATTAATCACTACCTGTGATTTGAAACACAGGGGTAAGGATTAACAACAGCTGTGTTCTCAGTGGGAAAAACCCCACCCATCCCTTGTGTGAAGGTTACCTAAATGGGTGGAGGCAGTTCCTACGTGGCTGCACGGTAAGGCAGTGTTTGTTTCTGTGACAGAAGACCCATATCTGGGGCTGAGATTTACAACAGTTCAGTTCAGCCTCGGGGACTTGCAAGCCAGTTTTGCAAAATCTATTACCTGCTCTTGTTTTCTACAGCACCTCCACAGGATGCAGCTGTGCAGATGCTGCAAACAGCTGTCAGGAGCCAGGGGCAGCAGCTGTTTCCATCTTTTGGAGGATGATCGTGCACAATTGTTAGGAAAAGAGCCAGACAGAGTTCTTGGCACTAACCTTGTCCTATAGCACATGAATGTTTGACTCATTGCACCAGTTTTGCTTTCTTCCTCCCATGTGTCTGATCACCACCAGCTTCCTGAGCTTAGACTTTGTCAAACCCAGACAGCCATTCCTCTCCCCACCTCTCCCTTGCTGTATGTGTGGTGGTTTCCAGGTAAGGGGAGACTGCTTTAAATTTCTCTTGAAACTTAATCTGTTAAATACAAAGCCCTGTTTATGCCTGGGCAGGGCACTGGGACACCCAGCTACACAGTATAGCTGGGGCCCAGACAGAAACCTCCAATGCTAAAAGTGTGAGCTGCTCTAGCTAAGGGTGGAGAGGCAGGAGTGTCCACTGCACCACTTTGTACACAGAATTTATGTAAAGGTAGATGCCACATACCAGAAAACCTACCAATACATTTTTTGCAGTCTGGCCAGCACTTTGAAAAGTTTTCTGTTAAAATTATGATTGCAACTAAAAAGCTTCAGTGTATTTAATTATTCCAACAATATTTTTGGTAGATGACTGACAATTCTTAATTATAAGGGCAGACTTTTAAAACTAATTTCAATGATTAATGACACCCAGCTCTGAGTTTTAAATTTGCAATGGATTGCCAGTTTTAACTGGCAGAGAAAGATTAGATGAGCACGTAATAAGGAACAAATTGTTTTACACACATTAGTATTTTTGAAAGATAACCTTGTCTCATTGATATAGTTAACAGATGTCTTGAAACTTTACTATACTTTACTATACTTTAATATATTGTATATATTAATATACAAAAAATCATGAAAACCAGCTATGGAAGCCACTAGTCCCCTAGATGATTATAGATACACTTTTATTTCTAGGATGCATTTACTTACTGAGCCAGCATTAGAAAGTGATGTAGGAGACAGTCTTTGAATACTTGGTCTAGCCTTAGGCACAAATACAATAGTCCACCTGTTGCACTCAAACCAGTATCATCACCAAGGCTCCATGAAAATGCACTGAGAAGCAATCAGACCTACACTGGATTTTTTAACACATTTCATTGAGAAATTCTTGACCTGTGAGCCAAAGGAAGATGCAACCCTACACTGGGTATGGAGGTTCACAAGCATTAATCAGTCCCCTGGAAATGGGAACTGCATCACCAACATGCTGCGTGGGAAGACACCCACAACAATCAGAATGAAGTGGAAACTGGTCACAGAACTTCCTCTTGTATTTGGCAGCTTGGATAGCCTTTTCTCCTTGAGAAATTGTGACATCACCCCCATTCTTCTACTGAGCATTGGGAGATCCTGTACCAATGTTGCTCACACTCAAAGAGTCTCTTGAGCATCAAGTAGGCTCATGCCTGGATTTCTAAACCAACAGTTTTAACATGGACCAATTTTCAAGTTTTCCAGCCATTTTTGAGAAGACCAACCAAGGGAAGGCATAGGCAGTACCTTTGAGGAAAAGTTTAGAAAGATTGTGAGTTTCTACCAGGCTTTCAAAGTGAGTGTTTCTCACCTACTAACAGAAGCCTCTGTTTCAAAGGATACCTCTATCAAAGCCCAAAGATCACCAGAGAGTACAGTGCAGCTATATAATGAAAGGCAGGAATAGTTAAAACATATGCCAAAAATTGTTTAATGGAAGTCAGGTAAACTGTTCAAAACCTGCTTCCAAGGAACTCCAAGGATCTGCTTTGTTCTGAGGGTTAGATCCCTTTAATTGAATAAAGACAGAATTTGAATGGTGACCTTCAGTAATCATCAGGATGCCACACATGTAATACCTTGCCTTCAAACTCAAATCATAGAATTTACTGAGAAATGAATCACTGGGAAATCAAACTTAAAATAGCCAGAGTTTCATTTTTATCTCCTCTGGTTCATGTTTATAGAAAATGGAAAAAAAAAAAAGAGGAGGGGATCTCCTGCTGTTGTTAAGAATGAGTGCACAAAGGTGTCTTGCACAGATGGTGTAGAAACTCTGCAAGGCACATGATGATAATTAAGTGCTTCAGAGCAGTAATCAAAATAAAAAGGTCTCCCTGTTTGAAGCATAGGGTTTTTTTACAGGTGCTTCTAAGGGATCTTTACTCTAAAGCTTCGTGTGTCAGTAAGAGAGCACATCTGCCAGGCTGAGCAGACCAAGAGTTCATCTTTAATCTTCAGTTGCAGTCTACAACAGGTGAATTGGAGAAGCTCTCACTGGAAATCTTGAAGAAATAAATCATGGATTTGTCCATGGCAAACAGTTCTTCCTATAACTCTTCCCCTAGAATTTCACTTTAAAGGTGAAACATGACATTTTATATGACACTCTTTTTCTTTTCAACCTTCTTTTAGTATTTTATAGCCTGAAAGAATGTAGTCTTACCGATATATCTTAATGATATAAATGTCTGTGTTGTTTTGAAGCCTGTTAAATTCTGTATTTTAGTGATCTCATATGGCAAGGAGTTTCACAGACCAGTCATGCATAGCATTATGTTGACACGTTTCAATGTTCCCATCACTATAATGTTAAAAAAAATAAAATATTTGCTTCACTTCTACCCAGTACTCTCCTTTACCCTTTCACCTCAGTTTCAGGTGTAGGCTCTCTGGGACCAACAGGGAATTTTAGAAACTCAAAAAAAGATTTTTGAAAGCTCAAAACCAGGAAGCCCTTCCTTTTGACTGCAGGGCTGTGAGCTGTGAGCAGTGACGATGGTGGTGGCTGATGGGACTCATGGGAATGGGGCTAGAAAGGATGGAGTGGGCTTCAGGGCAACACCTGAGGTGTAAACACAGCCAGGATGATGGCAAGAGTTCCCACATAAGACAATACTCTTGCTTATTGAACCAGGACAAGACAATTGCTTGTTTCTGTATGAAATGGTTCAGCAGCTTGGGCTGCCACTGCTCAGGCTCATCTCTCAGGGAGCAGCCAAGACTGCTAAAACAGCAAGGATATAAAAACTGCTACAGCTGAGAACACACTCTTTACTTCTGTAGGCAGGCCCAGACCTGATGAACTTCTAATAAATTACAACAGTGATTAATTGGTTCTTTATTTTCAAAAACTTTAGTTAGCTTATATCTCAAGAATCCCATCCCTGTTTCAGTTTTGGATTGGGTTCACACATAAAATGTCTCACGTTCCCCAAGGCCCTGTTTCTGCATTCACTTCTCAGCCACGTGAACAGACCAGCCCCTCAGGAGGTGTGATTCACTTTTGAGCTGCACCCTCCTCCCTGCCTGTTTATTCAGCATGTGCCTTTGAGATCATGCTGAACTGACATCACTGGATGTAAAGTCCTAATTTTAAACCTCAGTTTGATGAGGACTCTGGAATGGGGAGCTACTGCTTCTTGGCTTTGTGAACTCTTTGCATGGTGACTGAAGCTCACACATGTCACCTTTACAACAGGCTAGGTGACAACAACAGTGCAGCTGTTGGCTTCAAGAATCACAGAATCATAGAATGTTAAGGTTGGAAAAGACCTCAATGAACATCGAGTCCAACATGAAACATTTCAGCAAGGAAACATCAAATCTCATGACACTAAGCGATTGTGGCACTGATCTGGCCTTAGCTTCAAACCAGTTCTGGTCTCTGTGGTGACTTCAAAGCTTCCAGACTACACTTGTGGTATTCTGAAGGCTCAGGCCAGCATGAGCCTGTGCAAGGCTGTGCTTTGTGCAGAGCACAAAGGGGAGTTCAGGTACCGCTGGTCTGTAACGCAGCGCCGCCGCCACACGCGGCGAGCACCTCGCCCGGTGTCCTGGGGTGACTTTATGATACTGGCATCCCCAACCGTCTGCTTTATGTTATATATTAAGTTCTGCACCTTTAGGACTGGCTCTGAGAGCAAAAAAGGGAGAAGAAGAAGCGTGTAGTTCGTGTTGAAAGAAAACATCACTCCCCCACATCCCGCTCCTGGACTGTGGTGTCTGCAGAACAGACAGACAGCGGGACAGAGCTTCTCTTTGGCTTTTCTGGACCTTTTTCTTCTTTTTTTTCCTGGATCTGTGCAAACCTGCTTTGGACTAAAAAACACCCAGACAAACCCCAGGATCTGTGGCCCACTGGGGCCTGGGCCTCGGCACTATCCAGAGACGGAGGGACTGATAAGAACCTGAGTGAGCTGAGCTACACCACATGAAAAGGACTTTTCTTCCTGGATTTGCCATCCCATCAAACAGTGAGAGGTTTTATTGTTTAATATTATTCAATTTCTGTTAAATAAACAACTTTTTCCACTTCTCTCCAAAGAATTTTTTTTTCCCCGGACCAGTTGAAGGGAGGGGTCATTTGAATTTTTTCCCTGGGGAAACCCCCATTTGGAGTTTTTCTCCCAAATTTGCCCTAAACTAGGACACCCAGACACACAGAGGGAACGAGACCTGGGGGCCACTTCCTGGGGGAAGAATGATGCTCCAGTACTGTACAAACCACAGTTGTCTCTGGTGAACTTTTCAGACACTGTCAGCTAGAGAAGGAGATAAGGCGATAAGGAGATAAGGCAAGCAGAACGAGAATACAGTGTCATAAGCTGCAGCACATGCACCATAAAAGGGATAGAAATAAAGGCAGCTAGACACAGACAAGACAAGGAGTCTGCAGAAGAAGATATGTGGAAAATGAAAAAGAAGATGAAAATTAAAGAGAGATATTATTAGAGGTGTCATATAAACCAATGAAATCAAAAGGGAAATAAAGTCAGACAGGGATGAAGCCACGAAGATTACTCTAGTCTATGCCTTGACAAATTGTATGTAAGAAAACTTTAAATTGTTCCTCCGTGTTATTGTCATATTACATATTTTAAACTAGTTTCTCAACTCTTCAAAAATCTATGTCGCTTCATTAGCTTCATCATTTGCCAAATCACATTTTATCTGAAGATTTGTCCTTTTCAGATAAATATGTCTTTTCTGGAAAATCAACAGCTTTACTAAAGCCTCAGTTTCAGTGAGACTTAACAGAATCTGAGAGCAACCATGTAATGGCTTGACTAGAGAATTATTTTAACTGAAATTCATTTTTATTCTCTTTAAATGCAAATACTTAGCAAGCCTAGCAAGCTGATGATTCCATGTGAGACGCATATAAAATATATTAAATTCTGAATATTGAGACTTTCAGAGTGTTCCTTTGAATACTGCTATGATACACTGTCTTGATTTTATTCATAATACTGGATTTTTGCAATTATATTTAAGGGGAACACTTTGTTTCAGGCAGTTTTAGGCAGCTAAGGTAAGTGACTATACTTTCTGTTTTTTTGAAAGAAGATTTTTAGTCCTTTAACTCTGAATAAATATATTCTTCTACCTGTTTCCTTCTGAACTGAGATGATTTTTAGATATCATGTAACATCTTCATAAGTTGGAACATTTGCAAGCAGATTAAATATTACAGTTAATGCAAAGCATGTTCAAAGTGCAGCTTAAGATTTGACTTTTTAATATGAACTACTCTTTAAACTGCATACTCTGCTAAGACAGACCTCTGCTACTTTGTCTCCCTTACATATATACATATTGACTTCATGACTTCTGCTTCTTTTACACCAGCTATTCAGTCCTATCTTAGATTGCAGTCACATGAAAATCATTTTCATTCACCTGCTGGCTATGTAAAATAAAGAACTAGCATGGCCTGCGACAAAGCAGTACTAGCTTTCATAACTAAGAAGACATTGTGTTTAGTTTATTTTTGAAAATATTTTCTATTTCTGAATGGAACTGCTTTCCTATATTGCCTTTGCTCTACAGAGAAGGATAAAAGCCGTTGCAAAACTTTTGGCAGATGTTTCACAAGTGCACTGCGAGGACTTGAAAACCAGAGTGTTCAAAACCTGCCTATTTTTGTTTTGCTTTACCTTTTTCAGAATGATGACTCTGTATATGCACAGTGTAACAAAAGTCATTACCACCTCCAGTAAGCAACCTGAGTAACTTTTCCAGTTGGCCCACAGCATCTTTACAGCTGTCAGCTGAGGATCATCAGCATTTCCACAAGCAGATCAGACCATGCAACATTTGTGGCAGCTGGATTTGCCCTGCCCCTGCCAATCTGACCCCAGCAGCAGTGCTCCCCTCACCTTCCCAGGAGGCAACACCACTCCTGAGCCAACAGGCAACCACTGGCCCACTGTCCCGATCCTTGTGCCACACAGAGGGCTCCAGGTGGGCACCAGAGGTGGGCAGGCTGGGCTGCCACTGCCATCCAGCCTCGTGCCAGCACACGGGTGGAGCCCTCAACTCTGAAATTCCTGCTCGAAAATGCAGGCACTCCACCACTTCTCCACTCAAGCAAACTCTTGTTTGGGGTCTCATTGTGACACTCAGTGAGGGAGCTCTGATGGCATGTGCTGCCCAGCACACCACAAACCAGGCTGCCAGAGCCACGCCGTGGCAGCCCTGGGCTGAGCATCGTGCTTTGGTGGCCAACGGGGGTCTGATCCCAGTTCTGATAATATAAATCCCATATTATTCCTTTAATACCCAAGGAGGTCCTAAAAATTAGTATGCTGTAAGTCAGATCACAGTGTGCACCTAGGATTTTAATGTGAATTACAAGGAACTAATTGCTTATCACAGCAATGTAACAACCACACTTCGTGGGACAGCGGTGCAGAACAATTGATTTTTATTTCTATTTTGAATTTCGTACTAAAAACAAAAAGTAATTTGGGGGGAGCTGAGAGCAAAACCTGCAGAGTGAATAAGACTCATTTCACAAGAAAAAGTTGCAAAGGGTAAGGGGAGGAATAACTTTTAAATCTCTTTGGCATCTACCAAATGTTCTTTTTTGAAATAAGCAATAATAATTTATGATACATTGTGTGTGAAAAAAAATTATAGAAAACCTGAATCACTGGAGTATAAACAGACTAGTAGGCACCATGCAGAGAGCAGGAAATGTTGCATTAGGTATAGAACTGAGGTTACCAAATGAGATCAAAGGTTAATTCACAGGAAACTTGATATTGTTACTCACTTGTTGATCCTGCAGTTTAACTCCAACTACCCTGAAGGTGTTTGTGGCCGTGTTGTGGTATATATTGATTCTGCTGAATCCCTGCTGTCCAGGTTTGATTGGCACCCATTTCTTACTGGTATCGTCATAGACCATAACTGAAGCTCGGGCTTGGCAAATACTCTGTTCACTGGGGAGAAAAACAAAAACATCAGGAAAGAAAACAGTGAATTTGCTGCTTATTGCTTATTACTTAAAATGTCTAAAGGAAAAAAAAATAAAACTATCAGTAGTACTTGCAACATATGTTTTATAAGAGATCTGCTAATCCTTTGAATGCGATCTGTTAAATTAAAGCTGACGTGTTATGTGTTCAGAGACTTAAAAAACCTCCTGTATGCTGCTGTTTTGAGGCAATAATCTATTTTATATAAAACATTAAGCCCTGAGAAATAACCTGCATCACATAAACATTACAAAAACTGTCCAACAGTATGAATGCTCTATTTATTTTATGTATCCATTGACAACCGACACCTTTTGCATTTGCATGAAAACCTACCAATATTTTATAGCTTGCTGACGAAACAAACGTGACACCCACAGCTGAGTTATACATTTAAACTGGAAGCAAGCAGACCTTGAACCAAAAGCCATGTTAGGTAAACTGAAGAAATCAATTAAGTTAATCCAGCTGACGCCTAATACCCAGACCCACTGACGCACTTGGAAGTCCCAGAATACACGGTGCAAAACACACAGGAATGCTTTTTCCTTCGTCCTAGCAGCTAAGGAAGTGGGGAAGGGGAATCCACTAATGTGGATGCATGCCAGCTTTAAAGTACATAACCACTATTTTGTATAGTGTAAATAACTGTTTTTCTACTTCAGAGTCACAGAAATTCCTTAATACATCACCTCTTGTTTATTAGTCATATCCTGACTAATATACATATAGAGAATCATAATAAAACACACCCTTCAAGGGCAATAAATGCCACTGGCAAATGCTGTGACATGTCAATACAGGTCAGAATTTCAGTTCCACTCTCCTGACTTCCCAGACACTTTTCTTAGAGGAAATACAAGTTGAAGAAAAAAATTAATCCTGCAAATTTTGGAGATTTGAGGTCTTCAAATGTAGCAGGGATTTTTCAACAAGCAAATAGGGCACCTTATGGTGCATTTATGATTCAGTTAGTTCATCTAAATTAAACTCTTGAGATCTGTGTCCTGCAAAAACTTTAAGTTCATGACTGTCCTGTTAACTTTAGCCCTATGTATAGGTAAATATACCTCCCTTCCACAGCCCAAGACATATTAAATAATTTTCAACCATGCAATAGCAAGTGGTTAATCCGCTTTGCACACAAATCCTTTTCCTCCCTGTTTGGGTTTCCCCCCCGAGCACGCACACACACACACACACACACACACAAATAAAGAAGCTTCTGGGTAATGCTAAACCATGTTGCTGCACTACAACTGTGCCAAATTACAAATTGTAAATTCTCACAACTGCTGTACACCCAAACCTGCCTGACCCCATCGCTGTCACTGTTTTAATGAAAGGGAGCACGTTACTTCAATTATGAAGAGGATCTGGGTTGCTACAGCAGCAATATCTTTTCTGATTTGTGAGTCTCAAAAAAGATTTCCAAGGCAGATGTATCCCCCGTGGTACACTAAAGCCCACTGACTCTGGCTTGTTTTGTCAATCACTTTGCACAGCCTCCAGGTAGCCCACAGACCTCCTCCAGGCTGTGGGTAAGAGCCTGGAAAGTCCTCACAGCATTTATAGAGGGAGAAATTATGCCAGCAGATATCTGTATAAAGAACAAGGTAGGAAAATCCAGAGTAAATTGTATTTTTATTATGTATCATAGAAACAGCTAAATTCTGCTACCAGAGCAATATATTCAGATCAGAAGGACTAACCATTATTTTATTTATATTGTTCAGAATTCATGAAGTCCAGCTCATCCACCAGTTGCTATTGCTTTGTGAGATACCTGGAGAACAGCTGTGCCTTTGCTGATGTACTTACCCAGCAAACACCTCTCCCTCCTGTTTTTTAAGGTAAGCTAATGTCTTGTGGCAGCTCCTCCATATCTGACACGAGCAGCTGAGGGATTTGAGCTCCTTCCAGCCTGCCTAATCCTCCAACTGCTGCAAGAGCTGCAGCCTGGCAGCAGTGGCAGCATTGCCTGCATCCTCCAGACCTGCTGGGGGACACTCAGTCTGCCTTGGGTGCACAGACAGAATGGGACAGAAACATACCAGCAAAACAGCAGGTTTGCCTTTGTCATATGGAAATGGAAAGGCTAAAAATGATCCCCAGTGCAGTCTCATAGATGGATGGTGCCTTTGCTACCAGGTGTCTTGTGCCACCTCCAGCTCCAGGGGTGGGGGGAGCATCAGGTGCCCAGGGCACAGCAACCACTGTCAACTCACTGAGCATCCACTGCCCAGTGAGCTGGGGGCTCCAGGAAAACGTTCCTGGGAGAGTCACACTCAGCCAGTGTGACACCACATCCTTCTCCTCAAGCCTTGCCAAGCACTACATGTCCTGCTGTACACTAAAGTAAGCAAGAGCACTTCACTGTCTCCATTTCAGATGAATTCTGGAATCCACTATTACCACGAGCTGCTAAATTAGTCAAAATTAATTAAATTATCCTTACTTACAACAAGGAGACTACACCTAACCATCCAGACATGAGGGCCATAACACAGCATTACTCACAATGCCATACCCAGATTCCAGTAGATAGGGAAACTTTGCCTTCAGACTTTGCTGCCACCAAAACTGGCAGCAAAGGACCTGCTACTGTCCTGTGGCTGAAAAACAGACTCCAGGAGCAGTGTTTGATGCACGACAACCAATTGTTACTGTGACAGAAAGCAACAACACATCAAGCTGGATCCCTGCTCCCCTGCAGTCAATGGAAGTTTTTTATCATTCATTTAAATGGAAACAGGATTGAGCCTGTTATCTGGCCTCCAGTGAAATAACAGACAGGAACATAAAACAGCACACGAGGGGAATCCTTTCCTGCAAAGCACTTCATCAATCTTTCAACATCCAAAATGCCTCCAGGGACCCATTGCTAGCTTGCTGTCTCACCCTAAATGGAGGTGTAACTCTTTATCCTGAAGACTTTCTACTCTTCCTATGCATAAAAGGCACAACTGTCCCACTGCTGCTTTAAGAGGCTTCTCTGAAAACAGCCCAGAAAATGTTCACGTTATAAAGCTCACTGAGAATCTCTGTGTTACTCTCTGTACATTACTTTAAACACAGTCCAAGCACCAGTGGTTTCACAAAGGTCCAGCAAAATTACAGAATTACACAGAAATTAGTGTGGAAGTTAGTAGTGGAGGAACCATGGATAGAGAAAAGTCCTCATGCTTCACTCTGCCTGGCTCAGTGAGTTATCCAAATATATGAGCAAAAAGCTCGGGCTGGAACCACAAAAGAATAAACAGAAATAAACAGGAAAAAGAGAGCAAACCATAATGTTTGGAGGAGAGTCTGGCTTTGAAGGGTCTCTACGGCTTTTCCCTCTCGTTCCAGACTGGGGAAAAGTCGAGTGGCCAAGCTGCACTGAGCTCCTTCACTGACCTGTTTTCTCTACTTACACAGTTATCCTCTTATGAATAAAACTTTTGCAGAGCTTGGTACTGAGTGACTGAGCCACCTCTGACCAGCAGCCCCGTGCAGAGCCTGCCATGGCACAGGGTTATCCCAGTCCTACCCTGGACCCCCTGTCCAGCACCAAACCTCCCAGGGGTCACACCTCTGGGGCAATGGGAGAGCTTTAAAATGCTTTCTCTTGCAGCCAGGACAAGGTCATACAGCTTTTGGCTTTTTGTGAGCAAATCATGCTCACAAAAGGTGTGACAAATATGCACAACCATCTAACTTTGGGACCAAACATCCAATTCTCTGGGCTTTACTCCAGCATGCCAGGTGGACCTGGACACTTCCACTATCCTTCATGTTTGCACACACAACTGTGTCCTTGGGACAGACATTCCCTTAGCATAAACTCTGAAAGCTCCCTGATAAGAAATCAAGATCTCATGCTTTGAACTTATTTTAGACTGATCTAATCACTATTATTGGTGTGAGAAATTGTTGATATTACTTAGCCCCAGGCTTGCCTTACTTGAGAACGAAATCTCAGCCCAGAGAATGTGAGAGATAACGCACAGGTCATTTATTTAGCACATCTTACTCTACTTGTCCACTGAGTCTGCTGCAGGAAATCACACTTGTGTGGTTAAATGTGACATGCAAGAAATTGCTGATGCTGATTTAAGAAGCTGACAGAATACTCTCAATGTCAGCTTAAACAGCTAATGTAAGTCCAAAATCCTGTATACAGAGATGTGTGATCTGTACAGTACAGATCTGTGTTAACCTCAGAATTAGCAAGCTACAAGTCATGTTCCTACAGCACTTTAAAGTCTACTTCAAGCACTAATATACTAATTTCCTAAACATTTTAATAGCTTTCACTTTAATAAATATAATTACTGGGATGCAGGGGAAGTGTTTCAGTAGCAACCTGAAACAATGGACATTTCTCTCTGACACTGGATTTAGAGAACAAAAAGCCTGAGAGACCCTCTGAACACAAGACAGTCAGGTGATTTGGGCTTACATAGAGACCACAGCTGAGATCTGAGCTCATTGCAAATCAAGCTGCTGTAGTGCAGTGGTTCTCCAGCCTTCCCACCAGAGATTCACCACCAGCTCTGCCCATGACCCCACTTCTCCCTGGGAGCCTCATTTCTCCAGCACAATGTCAGTCGTACTTGTGACTCCTTCTGGGACCCCCTGTTTCAAAGCCCACTTCCCTCTGCAACCAAAGTTGCAGCACAGCCGGTGTCACCATCGTTCACCTTTGTCCCAGAGCCCTGAAGAACTTCCTCAAGCAATGCAGCAAGACCTCATGGTGAAAATACAGCATTTAGCCACTTGATCACACCAAAGGCAGCCCCAGGGGGGTTTTATATCCAGAAAGGTGCTTTTAATCCTCAGTGACATGCAGATGCTTGACTATTTTATAGCAGATATTTAAGCAGTAAAAGTCACACTCTATTACAAAATATATTTGAACAGCAGAAGTCACACTCTCATATATAATAATGACTGCTTCCAGTTGTTTTCTGAGCTCTATT